GGCGTCGGTAAGCACTGGTGAGATTTGAAAAGAAACCTGTTTATACTACTGTAACTACAAGCTAATTACCCGTGCGTGTAAATTGCCCTCATTATATGCAATATTGTCCGATGGTTTGAAAAGCACTGAGACAGTGTGTCCCTTTTTAATTATTTTGCCAAGAAAGAGAGACCAATTATTTTATCCAACCATGCATCAACACGGGCGATTACTCGAGCTCAGTGCTTTTACTAGGGAGTTCCAAATGGACATGGCGTGCAAATTTTAGTTGAGAAAAAACAAACGTTGAGAAAATGTTATATTTTTGTCTTTATTCGGATTACATTTTAGGTTAAAAGGCATACAAAAGTTAAGAGGTTTGTTATAATTAATTTAGAAGTTATTTTCAGTGCAAATCCTTTTGTATTTTTATTTTCAAAATTGTTTCGGATCAATTCTGCAATTTCCTGCCACGTTGCGAATATATTGGTCGTATTCTAACTGTGCATCTAAATTTGAAACAAACTGATATGAAAATCTTAAGTGATTTTTATTTTTAGCGCCAGTGACAATTCACAAAATTTTAAAGCGTAAAAGTTAATCAATAGCTTTTTGACCAAAATTGAAAAAAACAAAATCGACGTAAAAATTTCCAGATTTACAATGCAGAGAATATTCTTAATCCTGCAAATACCGATATTTATCCAGACGGCTTTACAAACAGCATCGATACGTGCATTAAAATTTGAGTGAATTTTCAATAGGAATTCCAACAATCTTTCATGTGTGACATTCTTAAGAATTGATCTGACACTTTTAAAATTTAGATTCTTGTTTTGTCAGTTTTGACCGTCTCTGATGTGTGCCAACAACCATGCATTTTGTTTAAATAGTGTTCAAAATCATGTGAATATTAGAACACCATGTTTCTATCTAACGTATGTCCGAAGATAACATATTTTGAATGGAAGAAACATTTCTGTCAGAAAAGTGAGGAGTAGGGTCATCAGAAAATTAGTCAATATATGATTTTTCAATTAATAATGGAGATCATTGATATAAAATAAGAAAAGAAGTTGACCTGAAATTGATCCCTGTGACACTCTCGTTGTGACTAACTGTTTTTCAGATTTTATATTTCCAAGCTGAACACTGAAATCTACAGTTTAACATTGAGGCAACCAATTTTACTGCTCAAGGGTCACAATTTTAATCAAAATATTATGATTCACAAAATCAAAAGCCTTACAGAAATCAAGAAAGGTTACGCCGAAAAGTTCACCAGTACCCATTGCTCGAAAGCATTAATATCAATTTATCATTCTTTTCATTCTATTTGTAAGTCCATTATTTATGCACTGAATTGACGACCGATTTTTCGGTTATTTCCCGATCACGAAAAGGAGCAAATGGCGGGTGTAATCGGTCGGCAGGGGATAGTCACTTCTCCATGGCACCTGATCCCTTCTGCGATGTTTTGAGGTCCTTATTTGGGAAACAGACTCAAAGAGTTAATGCTGTGCCTTTCGAATATGATACTTTTTAACTCAGTCTCACCAAGATATATCGATATAAAACTGGAAATTAAAATTGTTTATTGACAATACGTCGTCGATATGTCTAAATGTCGAGATGAAGTCTAAAGCAAGTGTTTCCTTTTCATGCATAAGATTTTGCACAAATTCTGCTATGAGATATCATGTGTTGTCTTGGTGTATTTTTAGACGGTCTCGTAAAAATTACTGGGATTTTACCCAAACTTGGCTTGTACACTGAGATCAATATAAGTTATATATGGCATAAAAAAAGATTTTTTTTCTGTTGCAGTATTCACACAATAAAACCCCAGTCGGCCACTATCTGCGTCCTTCTAAGATGTGCTCGGTGCTGTCTACGTTCTTATAAGATGTGTTTGGTGCTGTCTACGTCCTTCTAAGATATGCTAAGTATTGTCTACGTCCTTATAAGATATGCTCGGTGCTGTCTACGTCCTTATAAGAAGTGCTTGGTGCTGTCTAAGTCCTTATAAGATGTGCTTGGTGCTGTCTACGTCCTTATAAGATGTGTTTGGTGCTGTCTACGTCCTTCTAAGATGTGCTAAGTACTGTCTAAGTCCTTCTAAGATGTGCTAAGTACTATCTACGTCCTTATAAGATGTGCTAAGTACTGTCTAAGTCCTTATAAGATGTGCTTAGTACTGTCTACGTCCTTATAAGATATGCTCGGTGCTGTCAACGTCCTTCTAAGATGTGCTAAGTACTGTCTACGTCCTTATAAGATATGCTTGGTGCTGTCTAAGTCCTTGTAAGATGTGCTCGATGCTATCTACGTCATTTAAAATGTGCTTTGTGCTGTCTTCGTCCTTTAAGATGTGCTAAGTACTCTCTACGTCCTTATAAGATATGTACGCGTTCGATGGTTTCTACGTTTTTATAAGATGTGCTTGGTGCTGTCTCCGTCCTTTTAAGATGTGCTAAGTAATGTCTACTTCCTTCTAAGATATGCTAAGTATTGTCTACGTCCTTATAAGATGTGCTAGGTTCTGTCTACCTCCTTCTAAGATGTGCTAAGTACTGTCTACGTTCTTTTAAGATATGCTCGATGCTGTCTACGTCCTTCTAAGACGTGCTCGGTGTTCTCTACATCCTTGTAAGATGTGCTCGGTGCTGGTTACGTCCTTAAAAAGATGTGCTCGTCGCTGTCTACGTCCCTATAAGATGTGCTCGGTGCTGACTACTACTATTTAAAATGTGCTATGTGTTGTGTACGTCCCTCTTAGTTGTACTAGATGCTGTCTACATCCTTCTAAGATGTGCTTTGTGTTGTGTACATCCTTCTAAGATGTGTTAGGTGATGTTTACGTCCTTCTAGATGATCTCCTTGTTGTCCGAAGAAATAAATTCAAAAGTTCATGACGATGCCTTGTGTAACATAAATAATTGGAGGCCAATGTATCAAAGTCGAAATTAATCAATATATTCTTAATAATTTCTGAGAATCATTATAACGTCATCAAATAATAATTTCTTTGAAATTTATTTCTGAATAGCTAATTTTTTTTAAATTTCATTCAAGACAATGTATATTTCAAAGTTAGCAAATGAAAAAAAAAACATCAGAGCATAACAGGTATTGACTTAAGAAATGAATGTAATAATTTTTTCTTTGATCGATGTATCAAAGAAAAATTTGGACGGAAAACTTCATCAATGCGCGTAGCGCATTGATGAAAAAGTTTTCCGTCCAAATTTTTCTTTGATACATCGATCAAAGAAAAAAATATTATATTCATTTCTTATCATTTAATTATGATTTTAAATTAATAAAATGAAAGTTTCTTTCCCTTTTCTATTAAATCTATGCATCAAAAACAGTGCGCACGAATACATCACCATAACCTTAACGTTGCTGAAAATTCAAAATGGCTCTAACCATGCTAACGAAAAACGTTCTCAAATATTGTCGTGTGATTACCAACATTCTCTGAAATAATTTATATTTCTTTAAGACAAAAAACTTACCTGTTGTGTTATCCCTCTGTGTATATTTTCCCGGTAAGTTATCTAAGTTCATGAATGTAAAGGGGAGATACTCAAATATCCTAACAGTTCTAGGACACAGAAATTTTGGATTTCATTTGTGCATCTTTTCATCTGAATTTCAAACCAAATATATAATTATATACATATCACAACCTGTCAATGCTGTAAAACCTGAAAGAGTCTGCTGCCCATAGTTCAAGGTTAAAGAATTCCATCCTCAATTCATGGAGTGTCGTGTTTGTCGGTCACTCGTTTACCACGATTTAACAGATTTTCGGTTTTCCCCGCTTTGGTAGCATAATAAAACTTTTTTTCAGAGTTCTCTGTTTCATACCAGATATCTCAAAGTCAAACATTTAAGAAAAGTATGCCGATTAAACGATTTCTTCCCTTCTTTCCGTAACTGTATTGTCGTCATGCAGACGAATTTAATTTGTTTAGCAAAGGGGGATAATTCAAAATGAAACGAAAGTAGAAAATAAGCCAGGAACCTTACGGACAAGTTCCGAAATTCAGGAAAATATTTATTAAAGCAAAGGTATTTGAATATTCCTTCAAAAAGTAACCTGGAAGCGGGGAATATACATGTACCGACTGTCAAAGTAGTTCCGGCTCGTTAGTGCAACCGAACTATAGATTTTATTGATGCAGTTATCAAAAGAATTTTTTATCCAATCAGAATCAAGTATTTTATAGAAATTAAATGATAAAATCAAGAAACAACGCAATTTTCATTGTTATATGATTATATATTGTACTATTTCAGATTAAGCAATTATGACAATTAATATCATCTTCAATGAAATCGATGCTTGTTGCATATCTGCGGTGATTTTCTTTGATCTTTTTTGTGACGATATATCCCATATTCGATAATTCTGTCCAAGCCCTGTCATATATTACTGCAGGAGGCAGAAATCGTGTGATTTTTTTTAATATTGAATTTTGACACTCGAAAAAAATTACGTCATCAGACATGCGACAATTTGCTTACATCATAGACTGCCTCGTACTATTGGTTATATCGTTTTCATGGGGCGTGGAAATCCAGGGCGCGAAGCGAATCAATACTACTCGGCATCTATGATGTAACCTATACTTACACAACAGTAAAATATAGAGTACATAACAGTTAGCCAATCGCTTTTCAGGCATTGATTAAGGTACGATGTATATATTTGGCACTTTATAAGACCATTTGGCAGAATTTCACAGATTCACAAGAACGCAGCAGGGTTTTTTTTAAGAAAGTAAAAAGAAAAAAATGAGCAGTCAGTGGGTTATCTCTTTAATGGTCGGCTTCTTAGCTTTATCTAAAGCTAACATTATTTCTCAGAAATATACCGCGAAACTGGAATTCAATGATAAGAAATCAAATTATGAACTTTTAGGAGAATACAGTGCTCATTCATTGACCAACTGCGCCGTGATGTGTCAAAGGGAGTGCGTCTTCTTTGGTTTCAACTCTCAAATGAAGAAATGCCATACCCACAAAAAAGTCTTACGTCTGGTATGTCTGATGAGGCCGGTTGGAGATACTACTCTGTTGACGGTATGTATATTTGTTATTTTTTCTTTATGTTTACTTCTTTGGTTTGTTTTAAATCCCTCTCGAAGAGACACGATTTTTTCTTTGACACTTCTTTTTATGCAGTATAAACAATTGTATTTTTAATATAACTGATTCTAAAAATTATCCCTTTGCTGATTTTTTTTTCTGTGATATTTTTTTTAATTTTCAATTATTTTTTTAATTTGAGTTTTATTGAATTATACTTTGTGATTTTCTATTTTCTCTTTTCGGAATATCCCTTAGCATGTAATGGAAAACATAAGATAAAATTTCTACACCTTGAGATTTTAGTATTATTCATTTAAGCTTTGTGACAATGATCAGTCCAAACCATCAGAAAATTATAGCTTGTCATTAACTAAATCAACGAAAAAACCTCACTTAAGCTCCCATCTCGAAATTCCTATCTTAAAGAACAGCTGTTCTGAAAGCTGATATGAGAATCCTGAAAACAGCTGGCCTGTACTACGGAGGATTAAACAACCCTGTCGATCGGTTATACATTATATCATACATCAAAACGATATCATCATTTTACTACATTTTTCAACATCTATTTCAGTGTCAAAATTGTTTATCATCTTAATTATCTTCAATCAATTCCCCTTTCACATTTCTTTCAGTCAACAGAGTAATGAAAATAATTGTGTTTAATTTTAAATACGGTACTTTTAGCCATGTCATAAATCAAAGATTTGTATCAATTGGAAAACAAGATTGATTTTAAATAATAAGGAACAGTTAAACATAATACGCATCGTACATGTTGTTAACATTTTTGTTTCCACAATTAACATTTATATCTCATGCAGGCATTATATATCCCCTCACCTCTTGTACATATACATTGTATGATTCTGGTATTCTTTATTTTTTTTTAGAATTTTCTAGCATGCCCAAAACTTGCAAGGATCTTCAAGAAAACGGACAAACCATCACAGGGGTGTATGATATATACCCCTACAGTACATTAACCATTCCAGTAAGTGTGTACTGCGATATGACCACGATGGGCGGGGGATGGACGGTAGGTCGTTTATTTTATTATTAAAAGTACTTAGTATAACACACCTTGTTTTGGTTATTTTAAGGATTGTAGGATTGTATTGTACTTTATATCAAAACATATGGATCCTATGAATGTTCAAAGCAATAAATTAAATTGCTATGCGTGTTAATTTTTAAAGGCCATTCAGAAACGCGTAGACGGATCCATGATCTTTGACAGGAACTGGGCGGATTATAAGAATGGTTTTGGTTCACCAGAACAGAACGTCTGGATTGGTAAGTGTAAATCGGTTTCAAATAAGAACTTTTTATTCATTCAAAGTTTGAAGATACAAAAATTCTTGTGACAAGTAAAAAATTATAATGCGTAATAAAGATCAAAATTTAAGACTAGGTAATGTGTGTTCTATGATATTTAGATATCGTGTTTAATTGATATTTCAAATAATAAAAAATAGAAAAGAAGAATATCATTTAGCGGCATATTCTAATGAGACCAAATTTAGCAATATTGTCTATATCTATGGAAAATAATTTGATTTTTCATTACGGTAGATTCATATAGATTTTAAAAGAATTAATAGTATTCGATGAACTTTTCAGATGATTTTAGATATATCTTTATACAGGAAATGACGTAATCCATAAATTAACGAAAGAAAACACCTCATCCCTTTATGTATCCATCACTGTCCAGAATGGTACAACGCTCTATGAAATGTACGATCGATTCTCTGTCTCAGACGAAGCAGGAAAATATCAGCTCTTTCTTGCAGGCCCTGCCACGGGAACGCTAGGTAAGTGTATCCACGTTAAATTCTCAAAATTATGTTCAAAGTACGGATATTATCATAAAACGAATATTATCATAAAAATACCTTTCTGTATTGAAGTATCATTAGTACGGATATTATCATAAAAATACCTTTCTGTATTGAAGTATTATTAGTACGGATATTATCATAAAAATACCTTTCTGTATTGAAGTATTATAGAGTCATTGAAAAAAGAGAAGGGTAATTTTTTTTCTGATATTCTGTATACGTTTTTGATTCCACGCTAATGAAACATGTTTAGTATTTCAGAATATCACTTGCAGGTACCATGCACGTATCAGCAGATGTTGAATTTGTTATTGTCAAGTAGATAAAATTTCTAATTATACATTTTATGTACAAGAAATTATGTTATTTTTTTTAAACAAATAAATCCAATAATTACATTTGTTCAACATTGTTATTCAGCGTGGGTTTCCTGATTTTTGATAATTCACATTTTAACTGATACGGAAAAAGTTTACAGAGCATGTTAGTCTGATTTTTAATGATTCACATTTTTTACTACTACGGAAAAGGAAGTTTACAGTGCGTCATTAACCTTAAATGTCGAAAGGTTTACGAAAATTTGATGATAAAAAAAATTTTGATCGGATAAATATTCAAATAAAAAAGCTTAAAAGCCAAATTTTAAGGACCTTAACCCGTTTCACATTTCCATTTATTTAATAGGAAATCTACCATCTTAAAACATTCACATATGCACCATATCTTATCTCGTTATTAATGATTTACTTAGTATTGCATGTTATGTATACCTGTTTAAAGACACGGTCTCGGATAAATATTAAAATTTCATTTTGTGATGTTTTCTTACATTCCCAGTGACGTTTAACCCCCCCCCCCCCCATAATACCATGCTTAAAAAGTGTAACACGTCTGTTGTTTATTGTTACACTAGAAAGGATGCTATGTGAATTCCGCAGTGTTTTGTTGATTTGTATTATTTTTATCTCTCTTTACAGGAAACGACACGTTAAACTGTGTATCTCAGACGTACTTCAGTATTAAAATTAATGTGATATAAATTAATAATTATTATCTCTGTTTTATATTTTCTCTAATTCTTCAGGTGCCAGTATTATAGATATAGGGGATTAAAAGACTGAACTAAATAAATATTATCGCTCTTTCCAGCACCTAAAGCCGTCTATCTTAGAATTACCTCAGTATTATTAATGACAATTAAATTGAAGATATATAAATCCATTTTGTCTTTGATTGCTTTTGTTTAATTTTACAGGAGACGCTATGTTACACACTGGTGCTCCCAATCACTGGGATCTGTCTGGGATGTACTTCAGTACCCCGGACAGAGATAACGACGGGTATAGTGGAGGTAACTGTGCTGCTGGCAGTAACATTAGAGGAGGCTGGTGGTTCAACGCCTGTCACCTCGCCTTCCTTAACGGTCAATGGTCCCCGGGGTCCTGGATCAACCCATGGCGTCCCACAGTAACGAGTGCGACGTCAGTGAAGGGGACCACCATGCTGATCAGACGGAACTAGGTAAACATCATTAAATCTTAATATAACACAGATTTTTTTTTTCTTTTTGTATTACTGTGAAATTTTCAAAAGGTTATAAGAGGTTTTTCAAAGTGAAATATGTTCCTATTTCTGTGAAACATTAATTCAATACTATTTTTTCTTAACAGACGAAAGATCATCCATCAATTAGAGGAATCCATTTTGATTCAAGAGCCGGTTTTACATTTAACATTTATCACGGGGTTCTTTTTCTAAGAGACTGTTTGACATCAAGTGACTAAACAAATATGTTTTCAGGGGTGAAGGATTATGTAAAGCAATAAATTATTGTGATCTTGTTCTACCGAATGTATTCTGCAAAAGATGTACTTTATATGTGTTGTAATAAATTTGAAATTAGAAATATTTCGTTGTTATTTATACTAATAAATGGCAAGTATGTCTGGAATGGATAATTAGGATGTACATTACTTTATTGTCAAAACTCATTACAGCGAACCTGTTTAATCCGACACATTTGCAATACATTTTACTGTGCGTGCTCCGCCATTCAATTGACACAATGCAAGGGGAAAATGCCATAAGTGAAAACCCAAAATTTGAAATAATTTTAATTTATTGTTATTTAGGTTAGAGATAATTCAAGTAATTTAGAAAAAAAAATCAAGTTGCAAAACAAGACAAGGAGTTAGAAAAAAAATAAGCACTGATTCATTATTTTTGGAAGATGTTATAATATATCTGCAACTGCCTTTGCAAATAAAACTCAGCGAGCTAACATTAATCAATATGTTTGCAAATACTTTTGCAATTATGAGACTACATCTTTTAAAATAAATGATTCAATATGACAAGTCATTCTCTATTATGCAATGTGTAGACTTTGGTTTTATATATATATATATATATATAAATTATATATATATATATATATAATTTAATTCTGTTTGTATTCTTGTCTCTCATTGGTTGATTTCCAAAAAGGAACCATAACATTTTGTATAATCTGGTTTGGTATGGGGACACACCCCCTTGACAACCAGCTGAATCATCTGTATCCATCAATCCCCTCATTTCCAGTCCTTCGGATTCATGAAAAATTCCAGATTTAATGAATGTACCTTTAACTTCAAACAGTTGCTCGATCTTACCTCATGTAAACAAGCATCATGGCTGCTAGATCTATGTATCAGTTTTTACCTCCCCTTGCTTCCCATCACTTCCGTTACTACGGTTGTATTATTGCGCGGTAAATTTGAAAATAAAAACAACACAATTTTACATCCCCAGTTGTTTAATTATTTTAAAATTAAATTATAAGGAATGACTTTAATTCTTGGCCAGATTATCGAGTACAATATGGTTTGAGTCAGTTTCCGCTTTATAATCCGCTTCGCGGATTATAAAAACGCTTAAACTGACCCAAACCATATTATACTCGATAATCTGGCCAAGATTAGAGTCATTCCTTTAAATAAATATATATATATATATATATATATATATATATATATATATATATATATATATATATATATATATATATATATATATTAAAACACTTCGAAATTTAAACGTTTTCTAATAATGATAAATGATCAATGTAATATAAGGAAAAATAAAAAAAATCATAGGTCTTCAAGAAAGCAAAATTTAAAAATGATATCAATTAATCATAAACCTCAATTCCTGTATATGAATAAGGACAAGGCTGAAAAAATGCCAGAAACGCTTAAATTGCCTATGTATAAACTATTAATGTTCAATCGGATTTGCCTCTATCATAAATAGTGAATA